AAAAAAAAAAAAAAAAAAAAAAAAAAACAATTTTTGGGGGGGTTGGTAAAAAATTTTTTTTTTTTTTTTTTTTTTTTGCGGCTGGCTGGTATGGGGAACCAAACCCTTGACCTTGGTGTTACAAGGCTGCACTCTAACCAACTTAGCTAACCTGCCAGCCAAACATGATTTTAAATGACTGCAAAACTAGGTACTAATTTCTGTGAATTCAGCAATAATCTAAGCCTCCCTCGGAAGAATGCAGACTATTAGGAACAACTCTCGAGACACGAACTACACAACCTGCATACAAAAATTAGCCTAGATATGGTCACAGAGGATATTCTACAGGAGCCTTTGCCATGCAGAAGATGATGAAAAATAAAGAGAAAAAGAAGAGGCCTTGGACAAGGGATTATGCATTTCTTTGTCAGAAGCAAAGGGATAAGACCTGGGAGGGCTCCCAGCGAGACCATCCTCCCCGTCCTGCCATCGTTCCATCTGGTCTCACAGGGGTTAGAGGGAGCTTCCTCAGAGGGAAGCCCTGCATCATCACTGAGCTCTACTTAACTAGCCCTAACAAGCCTCAGGGTTGCCCTTCTCTCTTATTGGCCTAATAAATTAATATTGTTTATTTTTCTGCAATTACTTGCAAAATAGAGCTTATTTTTATTTATATATGTATGCACTTTTTAATTTAGCACCAAAGCAGTATGTAGTCCAGAAACCATTCTCGTAGCACCTGAGGTACAAATCAGATTGGGTATCCACAAAAGGAAATATCAAAATGTAGATTTTATTGTCAGTACAGATGCCTTGTAAGAATTTGCAAAAAAAAAAATATATATATATATCTCACACATATCTCAATTCATATTTCTTTTAAGGGCATTTACAGTTTTCATTCACCATGTGATTAATTTAGCAATGTTTGTTGATGTTGATACTTTATGTACATATTACCCATTTTTGGCTAATTTTATGTCTCTTCTTCATAAAATATTTTGAATGCTTTGCTCCTCCCCCAAATACAGTATAAATTAAACCATGGTTTGAGTAGCTCTTCAGTCAAATGAGGTATTACCCATTTTTGGCTAATTTTATGTCTCTTCTTCATAAAATATTTTGAATGCTTTTCTCCTCCCCCAAATACAGTATAAATTAAACCATGGTTTGAGTAGCTCTTCAGTCAAATGAGGGAGGAGAAGCCACCTTGCTAAACAATTGCTAATTATGGATAGGATTGCACTTCCCATATGCTACTTTCTCCTTGAAATATTGTCTTGAAAGCAGCTTTGCTCGTGCCTGTATTATGACTTGTCCAAATCCATTGACAATCTGCTGGTTGGCTGTGAATGCCTGGAAAAAGAATGGCACGATCATGACAAGTAGCACATTATGAATCTTGAGCCACTAATTGCAGAAACCCTCACAATTAAGCACCCAAGCAAATTAGGCAGGGAAGGAATCGTTAACAACATGTAAGGTCAAGGATAACTCAATTAAAATGGAAATCATTTTCTCAAGCAGAATGTTTCTGTATCTTTGTGGTCACTTAATCTGCTTTTGCTTCCCCTGTTCACAAACCCTGGATAACAATATGCTCTCTTTCTACAGTCCATGGTTCTTCTGCTTCATAGCCAGCGGCAATACATCTTTGAATACGACATGTGGGACCGCCTGTCTGCCATCACCATGCCCAGTGTGGCTCGCCACACCATGCAGACCATCCGATCCATTGGCTACTACCGCAACATATACAACCCCCCAGAAAGCAATGCCTCCATCATCACAGACTACAATGAAGAAGGGCTGCTCCTGCAAACGGCCTTCTTGGGTACAAGTCGGAGGGTCTTATTCAAATATAGAAGGCAGACCAGGCTCTCAGAAATTTTATATGATAGCACAAGAGTCAGTTTTACCTATGATGAAACAGCAGGAGTCCTAAAAACAGTCAACCTCCAGAGTGATGGTTTTATTTGCACCATTAGATACAGGCAAATTGGCCCCCTGATTGACAGACAGATTTTCCGCTTTAGTGAGGACGGGATGGTAAATGCGAGATTTGACTATAGCTATGACAACAGCTTTCGAGTGACCAGCATGCAGGGTGTCATCAATGAAACTCCACTGCCCATTGATCTCTATCAGTTTGATGACATTTCTGGCAAAGTCGAGCAGTTTGGAAAGTTTGGAGTTATATATTACGATATTAACCAGATCATTTCCACAGCTGTAATGACTTATACGAAGCACTTTGATGCTCATGGCCGCATTAAGGAAATTCAGTATGAGATATTCAGGTCACTCATGTACTGGATTACAATTCAATATGATAACATGGGTCGGGTGACTAAGAGAGAGATTAAAATAGGGCCCTTTGCCAACACTACTAAATATGGTTATGAATATGATGTTGATGGACAGCTCCAAACAGTTTACCTAAATGAAAAGATCATGTGGCGTTACAACTATGATCTGAATGGAAACCTCCATTTACTAAACCCAAGTAGCAGTGCACGTTTGACACCTCTTCGGTATGACTTGCGAGACAGAATCACTCGACTGGGGGATGTTCAGTATCGGTTGGATGAAGATGGTTTCCTACGTCAAAGAGGCACAGAAATCTTTGAATACAGCTCCAAGGGGCTTCTAACTCGAGTTTACAGTAAAGGCAGTGGCTGGACAGTGATCTATCGTTATGATGGCCTGGGAAGGCGTGTTTCCAGCAAAACCAGTCTAGGACAACACCTGCAGTTTTTTTATGCTGACCTAACTTACCCCACCAGGATTACTCATGTGTACAACCACTCAAGTTCAGAAATTACCTCCCTTTATTATGATCTCCAAGGACATCTGTTTGCCATGGAAATCAGCAGTGGGGATGAATTCTACATTGCATCAGATAACACAGGAACACCATTGGCTGTTTTCAGTAGCAATGGGCTTATGCTAAAACAGATTCAGTATACTGCATATGGTGAAATCTATTTTGATTCCAATATTGACTTTCAGCTGGTAATTGGATTTCATGGTGGCTTATATGACCCACTCACCAAATTAATCCACTTTGGAGAAAGAGATTATGACATTTTGGCAGGACGATGGACAACGCCTGACATAGAAATTTGGAAAAGAATTGGGAAGGACCCAGCTCCTTTTAACCTATATATGTTTAGAAATAACAACCCCGCAAGCAAAATCCACGATGTGAAAGACTACATCACAGGTAAGCATATTTTGTTGTCCTTTCCAAGTGCTGAATTACTGTTATCATTAGATTAATATGTAAAATAGCTGCAATTGATTTAACATTATACTTCCCTCATGCAAAATCAAATGCCTAACCTTTTAAATGTATTTATTTCTCTATGGAACCATAGAGGAACCACAAAGGGAAAACGAGATATAGGTACTACTTATTCTGTCAGTGCCCAAGGCCCCAAGTTTTTGAAATGACATGGAATCCAATCATGTAAGGAAGTGACAAAGGGAACAGAAAACATGATGAATTCAGATTCCCAAAATCAGAGTTCCAGTCCCAACTCCTCTCCTACAAGTTGTGTGGCTTTTTAGGGAAGTCACATAATTTTTTTGAGTTTGTTTCCTTAACTATAAAATGGGGATAATAACGCCTATCTTGTGGCATAAAATACAAGAATATATGCAATTCTGAATTAAATGTTAACTACCGTACAAACGTGTAATGTTGGGCTTTTTAATACAAGTGGAAAACTCTGATGGAGACAGTGTGAAAAACAACACAGTGTGACACACCATCTCACCCCTGGGAGATATTTAACTCCCTCCTCACCACCATCACCTCAGGACAACAATGGAGCAATTTCTCCCATCAGTTTCATAGCCAATGAGTCCAGTTTTTGTTCTCACTTCTTTTTCCACCATCTTCATTGCCATGTCATGCAGTTCTCACACAGTGACATTACTAATAGGAACACTGATTTTTCCACCAATATGGGGTGATTTTCAGGGTATATATTTAAGATCTTTCCAAGTTTAGTGCATGTTACTATTTTAATTTTGCAAGATTTAAAACATCAACACTGATTTTTCCACCAATATGGGGTGATTTTCAGGGTATAAATTTAAGATCTTTCCAAGTTTAGTGCATGTTACTATTTTAATTTTGCAAGATTTAAAACATCGGGTCCCACTTCCGCCACCACAGAACAAGCAGGATGTAAAACAGAGACAAGGTCCTTGCAAGACCTATTCTAGTTACCCTTAGTGAGCTGACTTCTTCCCTCATTCTCTTCTTCAAGAATTCTGGATCCTCCTGCTTCCACCTTTCATTCCTGATTTACATTGCCATATTTAACCTCACTACCACATTTATGTTTCCTGGAAGAAGGTTCTTTTTTCCTGTTTTGTTATTGTTGTTGTTGCTGTTGTTTGGTTTGGATTGGGGTTTTTCTGTTTTGTTTCAGTTTGGCTTGTGTTAGATGCTCCTTCAGGCAGCCTCTTTTCTAGCTTAATATTTGAGGCATGCCGAGATGTCTGTTCTTGCAGTTCTCAGTACAGCTCTCAACATGCTGCTCCATGTTCATTTCATATCTGCTTCCTATCTTTCTAGACTGCCTAAAGCTTCACATATCTCTCTTCCATGTGAACCAGCTGAAAGTCCCTTCTTTCAACACCTTTATGGTATTCTCATTCAGGGTTTTTCAGTACACATTTGCATTCAAATCCCATTATTTTGGCAGTACTTTCCAACAGTTAAGATCCTCTGATTTTCACTGTTGTGTTGACATTGTTCAGAGGAAGAGAATCTTTGCTGCCAATACTCCAACATTTGGAAGAAAGAATTTTCTCCAAAACATAAGACCTCCCCTGTAATCTTATATACACTCACACACACACAAAAAAGTTATCACTTTCCATCCCATGTGAACAACTTGGGATTTATTTCTCCCCACCACCCCATTTAAGAGAGGGAGAATACCACTGGTTTTATAGCCATATGATGCCTAGACAAAGGACCTGCCAGCCTGGCAATGAGGTGAGAGTTTGTGCTCTAGAGAAGGAAATAGGAAACAAGTGGCTCTCCATCATTCTGACAAGCATTTACCACTCGTTATTAAAGGGGTGTTGACAGGGGCCAGCTGAAAGGCTGGAAAGCCCACAGCTCCTGAATTCATCCTCTCCTAGCAACATGGACTATAGAGAATGCCATAGCAGCATTTTCTGAAAAACATCAAAAGAGAGATGGAACAGCATAAAATATATTAGGTGAAATGCAATTTCAAATTTTCCAGCAATGTGCTTAATATATAAAATAATCTACACCCAACTGTACTCATAAAGCTGCAAGCCTGCTGAGTAGTTCTGTAACATTATAACCTCCAGAACAGAATAAAAACCTTATTCTGAGCTTAATGGCTTTTGGAGTCACATGGCAATATTTTAAAATACCATTTTAAAGGTTTCCAGGTTCTCTCCCCAAAAAGTTTGTCTCCACCTGTGCACAGTGAGCCTTTGAAATCATAACTGATGGTAGTCAGAACTTCTGTGCCCTTGGCCAGTTTTGCCAGCTTTCAGCATTCATCTTTGATTAAGAATCAACTGTTGATTTTAACTCTCAATTTAGGGGTTTTATTAATAGAAAATGGGTTGTGGAAGTCTGCATATCCTTGGGCAATCGCTTTTGAAAGCTATTAACATACAACTTCTATTTAAGACCAGCCTTTACTAACTACAAAACAAATTTCATTTATTTTCAACAACTATGTCTTTTTCATGCTGCTGTGCATTGTTATTATCCTCTTTATCATTATTACTAGCACAGGATGCAACTTAGCACGTATGACAGTTTATCGAGTCTGAGTATCTGTTTCTCTGCATTTTTGGTAGCATTTGCCATAGTTCTGCTGTTGAGGTTATTGTCTTCATGTCTAAAAATAGAGACTAGGTTTTGGATTGTAGAATGAAGGCAAATGTGTGCTTTTTTATCTATGAAACTGTGTTTTTTAAGGTAAGAATTTAAATTTATGAAAGAATAAAATAAACTCTAACACCTTTTATTTTGAACATTCTTCTCCTAGATGTTAACAGCTGGCTGGTGACATTTGGCTTCCATCTGCACAATGCTATTCCTGGATTCCCCGTTCCCAAATTTGATTTAACAGAACCTTCCTACGAACTTGTGAAGAGTCAGCAGTGGGATGATATACCGGTAAGAAACAAAAAGCAAAACTATGAAAAGGTGATAAACGGTTTACTTGTGTCTTAGTTACCCCTATTTAATTAAACCACCCTTGTGAGAACTGTACCGGTTTTTAATTTTTTTACTCTTTTAGGGAAGAAAAACAATACTTCCTCTGCATTTCTGTTCAGCAAACCAGGGGCCTGTTAAACAGTCTTAAATCTGATTTTAGCGATGCTAAAAAGGTAATTATCAAAAAGTAATAAAATGGAGAAGCTCATTTTTGAGTGCTGGGTTTCTACAGAGAACCCCACGGAAGCACATTTACGGCACCTGGGACCTGAAGGCAACGATACAATAAACAGGAGGGGAGGGGACTCATATTACAAATATAGCAAACCGCAAACAGTGCCACAAAGTTCAGCCTCTTAAAATATCAGCAGTTTCATGGGAAAAGATTAAAATTAAAAATAAAATGTCCTCTGGTAAGGTTCCACCTACAACCAGGTGTTCATGGAATTTTCCTGAAAATAACAGATCAGGAGGCCAATAACTGTTATGAGAAATAAAATAAATCGAATGGAAAATTGCAAAGTCAAAACTGTCATTTTAGAAAGTGGCATTTTTAATTCCCACCATTCAGAGATCAGAAAGGAATGCACAACAATACACCAGAATTTCTAGCTTAAAGCAAGAATAATTAAGAGATCAAGAAATTGGGTTACCCTATAATGATAAGGAGAAGAGTGCAGTTTCTTAGACAGATTGATTTCCCCCCCTTAAGCAATTTCCTATAATTTCAATGAATACAGAGAGAAAAGCCAATCATGGATAAAACACGTACACAGCATATCCAGTGCCAGTATGTCTGTTTTCTGGTACATGTTTCATACTTAACATAAAAGCAAATCTTTTTTCACATGTCACCTTTACATTTAAAAAGCCAAACCCATCAAATTTCCAGGGTCTGAGAGCCGTTTTCACATTTCTAATTGCAAATATATCTGCAATGATAAAAGTGCCATGAGGGCACACTGAAGCTTCCTAATGCATTTGACCATGAACGTCCTAATTATGTATGACTTTCCAACATGTCTGAAAACGCTTAAGTCTAACTGTACAGACGGACTTGCCAACTTTTTTCCTGGGCAGCCTTTTAAGTATTGTTCATGTTCTCTGTCAAGAGAAGCGCACCGTAAGGACAGCTGAGGGAATCGCCGGCAAAGACATTGAGGCTGCCCCAAGTGCAGAGGAACAAATGTTTTCCTTCACTGCTGCAAATGAAACAGATGTTTCCATTTGGGAAACACTGGCCAGACAAACATCTGGTAGTATAATGGCTGAGTTAAGATGCCCCCAACTGAAAACATTTGCCAGTGTAGAGGGTCCACTGTCCCTAAATCCGTGGAAAATAACTGTTTTCCTAAAGAAATAAATACTCTTCTCCAGCTGCCCCACTGTCCACTCATCCTGTGCATTTCAGTTCTGCAGTTACACTGACGATTTTAAGCTGAAACGTGTGCTTACCAGGAGAGGCTTAAAGCACGAGCATTTCAAAGTAGATAAAGTGGGACCCAGTGATTCAGCCCTGACCATCCTCAGCCTTCTCAGTCCTTCTCTGTGTGTGGTGCTTTCTCCTCGGCCTCCCTTGGAGAAGGCTGCTGGGATGGAGGGCCTGATAGCGGGGCTCCCCACCTGGGGTGGGCGTGGGAAAAGAGCACCTAGAAATTGTAAGAAAAAAGCTAAAAACATGAGAATTTTGCCCACATTAGAAACCGAGAACGATTTTAAGTAACACATGGTGGAATTAGGTCCTTTTGCGTTTCAAACCCATCTGGATCACCTCGAGGGCGGGGGACCTCGCGTGCATTCCACATCCCTCCCCCCCAGGATCGCGTTAGCCTCTTCATCTCTGCAGCACCCCTGGAGGCTGTAGTGAGTGTCGCGGCGCTCTGCACCCAGGCTCCCCGGGAACCGAGTGCCACCGATGTTCTCTCAACCTGCCCCTTGTTGTGTTTCGCTTTTTCAGCCCATCTTCGGGGTTCAGCAGCAAGTGGCGCGGCAAGCCCAGGCCTTCCTGTCCCTGGGGAAGATGGCAGAGGTGCAGGTGAGCCGGCGCCAGGGCGGCGGCGAGCCCTCGTGGCTGTGGTTCGCCACGGTCAAGTCGCTCATCGGCAAGGGCGTCATGCTGGCCGTCAGCCAGGGCCGCGTACAGACCAACGTGCTCAACATCGCCAACGAGGACTGCATCAAGGTGGCGGCCGTGCTCAACAACGCCTTCTACCTGGAGAACCTGCACTTCACCATCGAGGGCAAGGACACGCACTACTTCATCAAGACCAGCACGCCCGAGAGCGACCTGGGCACGCTGCGGCTGACGAGCGGCCGCAAGGCCCTGGAGAACGGCATCAACGTGACGGTGTCGCAGTCCACGACCGTGGTCAACGGCAGGACTCGCAGGTTCGCCGACGTGGAGATGCAGTTCGGCGCGCTGGCGCTGCACGTGCGCTACGGCATGACGCTGGACGAGGAGAAGGCGCGCGTCCTGGAGCAGGCGCGGCAGCGCGCGCTCGCCCGGGCCTGGGCGCGCGAGCAGCAGCGCGTGCGCGACGGCGAGGAGGGCGCGCGCCTCTGGACGGAGGGCGC